CTGAACTACACATGCATAATTCACAAATAAAACTAAACTGTCGAGGACACAGATTAACAAGCAAACCTGTTTACTATCAAACTGACGCGTCGATTATACACATCAGCCAACAAGTGTTAGCTCACCTTGCATATGACTGCTTCGCTGAAGGTGTTCCAATACGATTCCTGACCTGGCAACCAAACATGGAATAGATCGCTAAACGACAATTATTGGCAGACTTTTACATGGAATTATATTTAGCATGTGTAGGTGGGCACAACATTGTTTCTGTTTTTGTTTAATGTAATTTTTACTTCTAATCTTGGTATAATATTGAAACATTTTTGTCAACATAATAAAACAATATATGTAGATTATGTACCCGTAACGGTGTAATTCCTCTGTATCATGAGAGTGGCGTGACTAGACGCTTTAACGGGAAAATGTTTCAACCTTTAATCCGTTTGAATAAGTGAATTGTTTGTGTTCGCGAAAGTCATCACTCGAGAGGTTTAGTGTTGTATCAGGAATTGATCTGACAATGCAGTGTAACATTTCTATTGAGTTTCTCATTGGCACCAGGTCATCACTTAACTCGCATCTTGGTTGAGCTATGTTCCAGAATCCCCGCGAGGTATCTACAGTGTGACAATGTAAATGCCACATCATTGTGTCATTAAAGAAGACTCGGCTCCACAGTATGTTGCCAATTCTGTGTTGGTCTAGACGCTGTAATTAAAGCCCTGTGAGTCTGGGAGACAACGTGTAATCATGTAATCAACGTAATCAAGTATCGCTGGATGATCATGATAACACGAGTCGAGTTAGCAGACAGCTAAGTGTTGTTTGAATGACCTGATTCAAAGTTACTGTGACTGCTAACCTGAAATTGAGGTTTGCAACATGACTGTCTTGCACCCACGAAGTGGCTTTTTGTTTGTTGTGTCCAAGAACGTACGTTTGGCCCTGGGATGGTAGCTCAGGGTGACGACGGAAGACAAAACTGAGGGTAGAAGGGTTGAAAACAAGTCATATGTATTGTTGCAGGTTGAAATAGGTCGACATGGTACAAGTAACGGTAATCACGTGACAGAAAGCACATCGGGATCGAGTGGCCAATGTTCCCTTGTGCTGAGACCCACTCTGTCACTTACCCATAGGCAGGAAGTCGGACGGCCATTATTTAGCGTCGACGCAGTCGTTGGTGTAGCAGGTGCTGTAGACAACGTGATGACTAGCCGTACAATCCGTCCGCTTCGATGATCTTGGCCCGTCTCCCCTGATTGACCATGTCAGTCAGGTTTTGTAGATAACGTTGGGGCAAGGTAACATATATATCGTGGGGCAAGGCCAGTGACCCACGCGCATGTACATACGTAAGATCTGGCGACGTGAGGAGGTGTTAATTGACGTGTATTGACCTTTTTGGCCATCTTGGATCGAAAACGAGGCTTGGAGAGCATTCGGTGCTTTCGTGTCAAGGATTCAGTATCGAAATGGCTTCCACCAATTTGAGCGCGAAGACTGTGTGGACCAAAAATTTAAACTGTGTCCCGGTCATAAGACCCGGTTTTGTTGAAACTTGGGTAAACCAAATTGCAAAAGTCCCCAGAAAAGTATTAAAAAGAGCCTATGGCAATTTTTGCGAGGGATACATATTCGATGTTGAAGGTAGGGGCTTGGTTGTGTCGGCAACCCGGAAGTGATTTTTCCGTTAAATATTATCTTATCAAAGTCCTCCAAAAACACACATCTTGCGGTTTTTATAATACATGTGACACCTAGTATTGTTTAGTAAACAATAAGCAACACTTGATTTGGCTGTGAAGTTGTTTCGATTTGTTTTCTTATTGATACGAGTCCAAATAAGAACAGCTTTTGAAATGAATAATCGGATTTTTTTCATTGTTTACATTCCACCTGAAGTATAAATATTTTCCAAAATAAAAAAACGTGGTGAATAGCTTCCTACTGTAGTAGCAATGAAAAATCATTAAAAAATAGTGGGTGTTCTTTTGAACATGAAATAAGTAATAACAGTATGTGTAAAACTGAAATTTAAAGATAAAAAATATATATTGCTGCGTTGATCACTGTATGATTTGTATGACTTTCTCATATGTGACATAACTATTGTTAGGCTGAAGCAGATACCATATTTTATGGTCTCTGGCTGAAATAATACTTTCTTCTGTTATGTGCATTCACCTATCAAAACATAAATTTCTACTCACATTTGTTGTAACCTCAAAGAAAACGTGATGAACTTGTGAAAAAGTCCCTTCATTATCATAAGCCTAAGAACCAGCAGCAACTCACCTTAAGTAAAGATTCGTTTCACAGTTTTCCATCAATTTTGTTTTTCACTGTACATAATGTACCATTCATGTTCAGTGTTAAACATTACCAGGGAGCTCAGATAATGTTCTATTACCCTCCACATTTGAGTAATATGTGTCCATATGATCTGCTGTGTGACCAATAAACATTCACATAAATCCAAAGAAGTATCTGTGTAATAACTCACCATTTTATGGTAACATGAGTCAGACTAAAAGTAAACACATACAGGCAAATTAAATACAACAAAGAATGATATAAATTGTATACAAGGGTTTATTTTACAGACCTGTTGTAAATCAATAATATACATTGATATTATCATGATTATAACAGGCAGGATATTCAATTACTTTTATGATTATAGTATCTCCTCAACCTGATGGAGCAGTTTGCAGAGCTCGAAGCTTCAAGTCAATAAAAAAAGAATGAAACCCCTTATCACATGAAGGTGAATAAAACCGATAGGAAATTGTGTTTTTGTACTCAATAAATTGTTTCATATTTTCTCGTTAAGATACATTTAAAACAATTGTGGCTGTGAAAACAAAGTACTTTTTGATGGAAAGATAATTAAAATTCTCATTTATTGAAAACCCACACCTTGAACCAATAGTCTGAAGAACAATCACTTTAGTGAAGAAACCTTTAGTATGCTCAAGGCTTAGGAAAGATAACTGGGTTCCCTGCATAATTATTTTCAAGTCATGGTTATAATTGGACAAGGCCAATTAATCCTCATAAGAAAAGAGTGCTATTACACTGAGCAGATATTACCACATAAAACAAAAATAACAATAGACTACCAATGATATTTTTCAGATCTGGATCAATACAACCGATTCAACTCTCATTGAGCAGACTTCATGTAATTGTGAATCTGGCCAGGGCAAATGTAATCACGCGATTGGTTTACTGTATTTGTTACAACACTATCAATCCCTTGACTTAAAAACAGTGCCACCTGCATTGTCAAAAACATAGCTGCCACAAACATGGCATGTTCCACAAAGAAGTAAAGGCCTTTTTGCCAAAAAGGTAGACCAAATCACTGTTCAAAAAATAAAAACACCTGCCAGTGGATCTGTTACATCTAAGTCATCAACAGATACTACCTCTTCTACTGCCTCTACTTCATCTGCTGCCTCTACTACATCTGCTGCCTCAACTACATCTGCTGCCTCTTCTAACACTTCCTCTGCTTCTCCTACACTTACTCACTCATCATCTTCCAATGCGAAACCTGTCCCTTTAAAAAAAAGACGCCTTGATGGTTTGAGGTCTACTCTATACAATCCCTTGCCCAAAGACATCAACCATAATGAATTTTCTTCCACTCTAAAAAACATTTGTGGTCAAAATCCTAAGGCTAATCAATTCTCATCAATCATTCCGAATATGAGTGATATCGTTCTTGTACCATCTGCGTTTGGTCAAGTTCCCAAAGGTTCAACCATTTCACTTCAACAGCCTCCTATATCAAACATAAACAAAAGTCATATCATAAACCATTCTCACCCCGTTCCCCCACCTTTTGTAACGCCTGATATTAAAAGCAAACTAAATGGCCCACTTACATCAAACCAACAAACATTTCTCGATGGACTGTCAGTTTCATCAACACAGAGTGCTTTATACGAGCAGGAAACACAAGATCAATGTGAGCAAAAGAAGTTGTTTGAACTTAAGGCACATCGCCTATCTTCAAGTAACTTTAAATTTGTGCATACCAGACAAGATAATTTTGAACATTTGTGTGACTCTCTACTGAAATCCAAAAGACAAACTGAGGCTATGAAGTATGGCATGGAGAATGAGGACTCTGCTGCTGAGGCATATTCAAGGCTGCAGAAGCTTAATGTCCATGCTTGTGGAATTGTCATTAACCATACATGTCCATATCTAGCCACTTCACCAGACAGGCGGGTATATGACCCGTCTGAGAGTGACCCTTGGGGTTTGCTAGAAATCAAATGTTCCACTGCACAATCCATATCAAATATCAACTACCTTAAGTTAACATCTCAAGGTACATACAAGCTCAAAGAAACATTCCAGCATTATCATCAAGTAATGGGTCAAATGTTACTCACTGGGGCCAGGTGGGGCGATTTCTTTGTTTGGTGCAAAGATGATTACCACTTGGAGAGAATATATTTCAATGAGGAATTTTGCAATGAAATGAAAAACAGGTTGGATCTGTTTTACTTCAACTATTTCATAAATTACATCCTTGGTAAAATCTAAACAATATTATCAGTAAGGGGCAAGTTGACTGATGTAATGAATGGAAAGTAATTTGACAAGTAGCTTGTACGGTTGGAAACCAGACAGACCCTACTGACATATCAACCCGTAAATGTCTATTTTTATGGGTAATGAAGTTTTACATTAGTAATCGGGTTCTGATGTGATTCATACATCAGCCAAGTGACATTGTAATTCATGTGTTTCATGAAGGATGAATTTCTTTACTTCTCTGACATGAGACATTGACAATTATTGTGTTAGACATGTAACCATGGTAAGATATGTACACACATATTCATGAATGATCAAATTGTTATGGTATTGACATACTTCAGTTTTGAAAACTTTAGTTGCACTGTTTCAGCATGAATGTATTAGTAATACAAGGAAATAAAGATGTTTCCACTCTCCCATTACCATGCCTTTCAACTATGACACAAGAACTTGCAAAACTGATTGCATACTATACCATATTGAAGTAATGTACCAGTAAACAATTATCACATTTCTGTTTAATGAGTATTTATCAAGATGACACACCATGATGACATGGTTCAAGTAATGGTCCAAAGTCACCAGACTCTCGGTACAGAGGCATTAGCCATGTTATGTTTCATAAGTTTTCTCTTTGCATCACATAAAAAAAGAGAACCCCTGAAATTTGATAATAGACAGCAAACAGTCCAAATTTGATTTACAGATCCTACAATGGTTAATGGAATTATGCCATCAAAAATATGGTATTCCTTCACTCTTCTGATTGCTCTCTCCACATGTATACGTAGTCTGGATATTTCCTGTGTGATTGCTACATCCTTTCTAGTAAACTGATAATCATTTGATTTTGAGAGAAAGGGGGGGATAATCAAGTGAGCACCAGTAGACTGAAGAAGATCATCAATCAAAAACCCTTTGTCAGCCATAACTCCATCGCCTACCTCTAACAATGACAAGAGACCACTCTGTTTGGTTATTTCCTTATCAGAAATACATCCTTCATAAAGTGAACTGATAAAAGTAATTGGCCCATGGGGAGCAATACCAATCAATGCTTTCATAGTGGTGTGGGTTTTATAATGCGAAAACATTTCTGAATTGACAACCCTAGAGGTTGGCGTTTGACATTTCAATTCAGTACAGTCAACAATAATCCGTGTTGCAGGATAGCAACATTTAAATTCTGGTGGCATTCTTTCATTTATCATTTCTCTAGAGGGCCAAATGCATACACATCCAAGCAAAAAATACAGATAATTGGCCCATGTAATAGTTATTCTACAAATAGTTGAAACACTGACATTAAACAGATGTGCCAAGTGTGTTTCAGGGTAACCTTGTCTTACTCTAATGAGAAACACAAATAATTGGTCAAACAATGACAAAGAACATGGAAATCCACAGTGTAGTTTGTCTACATCAGTGCCTCTCTGAAACTGTGTCCAGGTTTGCATCTTTGAAGCAGTAGGATAGAGCCACTGAAAAAAATGATCTAGCTCATTGAAATCAGCAAAACCTGTATAAAAATTGATGTCCACAGGACTGGTAGCGAAACGCCTTATAGAAAATAATTTTGCAGACTGAACATTTACATAATTTTGTAAGCGTTTTATCTCTGCATGTGCAGAAGCTAATTTTTCTTCAGTTGTGGCGTGTTGTTTCTCATGGTAATCATGATCTGCTGTTGGGTGGGGGGTAGACGTTTGGGTCGGGTCACTGGCCGTAGTCGAAGCCAGATCTGCAGTGTCAGCCGGTGTAGGCATTGTTGGTACGCAGTCCATGCTATCCAACCTGAAAAGTGTAAGTCACGGAACATTTCATATTCCCTCGTAAATAAAGCATATCCTAGAATAGTAATTTTGGTACCATAAAATATATTATCAGGGATGTGAACAGGTTTTCCCTCAAAAAGAGGAAAACTTTTGGGGGGTTGACATAAATATTTTATTATTTTGATTGCATTTTAAGCAATTGGGTGCATTTTGGACAACACTCACACAAAGAAATGTAATAAGTCAATGACAAAAGTCTAGTCAAGTCAAATAAACAAAGATGGCGGATGCAGTAAAATTTCGAAGTTAAATCAATACTTTTAAAAAATCGGACATAGCTTCCGCGCACCTGGCTACCCGCCAGGTCTGGGAGCAATACTGCCATTATAATAACAATAACATATTTATACATTATTATAATCATAATACATTTACAGTGTCACACACTGTACAGTACATGCACTGGAATAGAAATGAATGATTTAATAAAATATTAATGTCATGACAAATTATGATTACAACTATTTTAGTGAACTGTATATTATATGTAATAATTGATATGATAATAAGAGATAGTCAAATCAATACCTTCTGTCCTGGACCTTGTTGGTTGGTCTACTCTTGGTGGCACTGTTCCATGTAAAAATACATGGAACAGCTCCTGGAACAAGCCTCTTTTTGTGCCCTCCCAGACCTATTTTAATTTCACATTGCTTGAAGTGGTTGGAGCATACAAAAGTAAAATTGCGACCAATCTGAAACAAACAAATTAACATCAATAAACATATTTAACAATGTTATTAAGTTTCTATTATTCAAAATAGTGAAGCTGTAAAAAAACATATATGTAGATAACCATTATTACAAAATCTATGGCCATAAAATGTTAAAAGTAGCAAACATAAGGTAGAAGTTACCTGTATATTACCTTAATGTATGAACATTTTCAGTACAAGGATTGCTGAAAATAACCCTGACTTGCAGGATAGTAAAAGGACCATAACCATAACATTTCATTAACCTATAGTATCCTTTAATCAAAATAATATTTACATTTTTTTCAGGCAGCCATAGAGACAGACATGCTTAGTCAATATAGATCTATGAGCCTAGGACCCAAACCACAAATATTTATTACATAACTATTTCTCAAGTATAAGGTCGACTATTGTGTCAGTGTTACTTACTGGCATTGCATTCAAATAAATCTTTCCCCAGATTATCAACATTTAAATAAATAATACATTTTTTACATAACATTAGGTTTGCCGTCTGTTTATATCAACCCATTTACTGATCGTGTGATGATGTTGTCAAGAGCTCATCGGTGACGAATGGCTCGAAATATTGAAGTAAATTTTGAAATTACATGTAAACAATTATTATTTTACCTAGAACATGATGTTCTTGTCATTTTTTAGTGAAATATAATTTTGTGGTATCATTGTATACAACAAATTAGTCGGACTTCTTGTGAACTGACGATAAACATTTTTCGTGATTCTACACATGTACCACTAGACAGACAGGCTGCTTACCTGGAAGGAGTTGCTCACATCTCGACGTATGGCTGCGATCCATTTCCTCCGGAGATGCTTGTCTTTAGGAAAATTGAAAAAAGACAATTCCGAAGAAGCTGCTTTTCTCCGATCGCTCGTACAGAATGGGACCGAACAGTGAGCCATTACTTCCTGTGTGTTGACACTACCTGCAGAAGCAGCGATGCTCTCCAAGCCTCGCTTTCAAACCGGAAGTACCGAAGTGTGAAAAAGGTCAATAGATAGCGCTAAGCCTTACGGGTCCTGCCCGGGGATTAGAGGGGATACGCTGAATGTTAGCTGTATTCATTACACGGACAAAGGGGGTAGAATAGACTCATTCCAGCTATATGACGGCGGTCTGTAAATAATCGAGTCTGGGCCATACAATCCAGTGATTGATATCATGAGTATCAATGAACGCAATAGGATCTAAATATCAACATATATCATTTTCTTTAATCATTTTACATGCAGTTTATAAACATGTTATTCGTGCGATTTAATTGCACTCAATCCGGAATTGACAAACTGCATAAGCAAAAATATATGCATATATTTTATAGAACTAAACAACTGGAAACGCGCCCCCTGTTATTTTGTCCGTGAGGTTTGAAAACCTGTTGGGGCCCTCAATCTATAGTATAGAAACCGAAACATGTGATATTCCTGAATGAGTAAATATGGACAACACTCACGACAGTTTAGAAAGTTGTAGACATAATCACATTGCGTGTATTATTGTACGTGACTGAAGTAGTTTATCTTTTGGAGATAAGTCATTCTTCTAAATCAACAACCTAAATCCATTCATCTCAGTTGTGTGTACAGCTGTTCCTCACGCAGAGGATCATTCACCTTCTTAAGATAACAAATGAGTTTGATAGTAATGATTCTGTCCTTTTTGGAAAAATATCCTCAATCGTCGTTGTTTCAAACATTTATTTACAAACATTATGTTGCAATTGGGTATACAATCCTCCCTGGTTTAAATGCTACCTTGGGTATAATGCCATATGTCCAGCTGGGCGAACGGTCGCTGTATAAGAGAGTAGTGTATGCGACATGGTGCCATAGACTGGTAAGGTGTTCCTAAAAGTGACCGTCATGACCCCAACGTGACTTCCTGTGACGAGATTGTCAATGGCGTGTATATACTTGCGCGAATGACCTCTACAATCCTTCTCCTCATGCCTTCAGTGAAACGTTTAATGCGTTCTTTGGGCAGGTTTTTCCCAGGCTCGGTGCAATGCTTGTGTGAGTTCCTGTTCTCCGACAAGTGGATCTGACAGGTAGGGTGCTTGATCACCTTTCTTGGCCTCCCACCTGAGTTGATTTCTCATCACAATGTTCGTAATGACAATTGTCCGTGGGACATCCAGTCCCCTTCAGAAAGTACTTATGGCAAAGTGTTGTCGCCTAACTAATGTTGGTAACCGATCTCACGACAACAGCTTTGAAGGACATTCATGCATTAATCATGCCTGATGTTCGCCCCCTCTCACCGTCAGATAATTCCCTACGAGCCATGTTAAAAAAGAAAAAGAATTAAAATAAGAAATCGTACGTCAACTGAAAGTGCATCTTCGTGAAACAGGTACGTGCTTTACGCGTCAGAACCGCTAGCAAACATTCCCACCTTAGATATTCATAACTGGTATTGTCATTAACAAAATAATTGTACCAATGACATTCACGGTCGCACGATAGCGGTTAACCTTTTTCAAGCTGTGCTTATTTTTTCCTGGTGTATATGCCTCTCGCTTTACCTAATTACCCCTTAGTCCGTATTTGGTAGTAACATTTGTACATGTGGCGTAGGTGTCGAATCGCCACCCTGAGGAACAGGTTAAAAGACCCGAACAGGTACAGCATTTGAAGCCCATTGGATGTGCTCTCCTCCGGGATATTGTGTGAACAGTCCTATTCACTCATCCTGAAGAACAATAAAGGCATGTCTTTCATAAAGCAGTACACCAAATCTCACCGCCTTTCAAGCCTATTTTCGTACGGTTTATCAAATGTGAAAAAGACATAACATGTCATGATGGCGCTGTAAATATACCAATATTGTCAGATCGGGCGTTTTGTAACTGTGTGAAACCGAAACGCTTGTCACCAAGTGTCATCCCCACCATTAAGACATATCTTTTAATCTTCTTCGTCTCTGGCACGGAAGCTCCACGTCCTTCACAGGATGTTGTCAACTTTGATAAGTAAGCACGTCTTTGAAATCTCAAGATAGGTTTCAAATTGACAGTCTTGATACATCAATGTTTTTGTATCACAGAGATTGTATCCAAATGTAGGGACGTGGTGTTGTATGGACGTGGTGTAAAATATTAACGTTTCTTATGTTGGCTTCATTATTTAGTTTTGGATATCATATGTATACAGTAATTATATCAACCATATCATGGATAAATAGTGAGTGAGTGAGTGAGTATGGATTTACGCCGCTTTTAGCAATATTCCAGCAATATCCCGGCGGGGATAAATAGTCAGAAAATATTGCCAGGAACAGTTATTAGGGATGATCTTGATGTAGAACTCATAGCTCAAAGTGGATAGACCCACTCTTTCAGAAATAAACAAAATAGATTATCATGGATCCGTTTGCAATTCTTCAAATTCTAATTTAATTTATATACTTACGAGTAATAATTATGACGCAGCCCACCGTTGGGATGGTGATGTTCGTGCCAGATAACGACACTCACAATGCAGGTGTATCAGCATGCATTCTGTATTTCAGTGTGATGCAATCCGCTGTACAAACAACGCAATAACAGGGTCTTTTTATATATAATCGATTGTTTCATATTTGTGTTCGTATTATTGAAGAATACCGACTGTTAAAATGAAATTGGAAACAAAAGAAAATGCTTGTGTTCCAACCTAATAGCTATTATCAAGACATGCTACGATATTCGAGAAACGAGGCGGCTTTGAAACAGTTTGTCGCTTCAACCCCTTAAAAAATGTTACGAGTGTCGGGTTCCAACAAGCAACATGACTTCAACAGATGACGTTATCCAAGAATAGCATATCTTGGAACATACTTGTTCAAATATATTCAATTCAATTCTTTATTCATGTACATGTACATGTGTAGGCCAGCGGCCCATGGTACAATATTTGGTCCATCATTAACATTTATAGGCTTAGTGTTTGGAGTCTAACATTCATAGCATGGTATATAAAAGTTGCAACATTTCTAATAACAGTTTCATTGTTTACCGCCATAAGCATATTGAATTTAGCAAGAGTAGGATGTACAAAATACTTCTGTGGTAAATACTGAAGACGAAGTTCATCATAAGCGTTACAAATTAATAAAAAATGATATTCATTCTCGACATATCTTTGGTTGCAACTATTGCACAATCTCTGCTCTCGTGGAGTATTAACGTATCTACCAGTCTCAATGTGGAGAGTGTGGGAGCTACAACGAAACTGGGCTAGTGCAACACGAAATTTGTTGACAGTGATAGCAGACAAATACAACTCTAGACTAAATGAATTTTTGAAAAGTGTATAATGGAACATTTTAGAACTATTTGCTAAAGACCAATGCCAGTCCTGTTTCAGCAAATTTTAACCGATCTTCATATTCGGAAATAAATGATTCGGGGCAAATAACATATTGGTTCTCCCATATATATCCAAATCCAAGGCTGTATAAAAGAGTTTTGACTTTTGTAGCCCAATTAGTTTTACCATGTGTGGCTAGCTGAAATAACATATCATAACTTTTCTTGGGATATCGTGAATTTGGGAGGGACATAAGTTTACACCAATATTTTATACAGCGTTTATACGCAGAAATGTACAGTGGGTATCTTCCTAACTCTCCTCGCACAACATGATTGGGAGTAGACGTTTTAACACCTAGCAGACGTTTACAAGCAAGTACATGGATACTTTCTATTTCTTTGCAGTTTTCAAAACTCCACATTTCAGCCCCATATAACATAATTGGAGCAATTTTAGTATCGAATATTTTAAAAAATAGTTTCAGTGGAATAGGTTTAAGTGATGAAAGGGAGTTTAGAACCGAGAACAATACCCGTTTAGCCTGTAATGAAGCATTGTAAGTATGTTTCGACCATGATAAATTCTTTGAAAATACAACTCCCAAATATTTGTACG